TCTCAGCTCCCTCCATCCCAACTTTGAGCTGCTCCAAAACCCCAAAACGTGCATTTTATGCTCCCTACCCAGTGAGGGATTCCAAAAGAAGCCTCCAGCTGCTGGGGTTGGAAGGTGGCAGCTCCTTAAATCTCACCCAAAACACCACACGTGGAGTTCTCACTGTCTGTGGGGCGCAACCGGGAATTTTCTGGGAATTCTGCTGCGGATTTAACACTTTTTACCTTAATTCTCCTCCTTTAGACGTGCAGAAGCAGTACGAGTGTGCCAATTTTGGGGAGCAGGGGATCACAGTTGGCTGCTGGGACGTTTATCGGCACGACATCGACTGCCAGTGGATCGACATCACCGACGTCCCCCCCGGGGATTACCTCTTCCAGGTGGGACAAACAGCATTTGTGACACCCTTACTGCTTTTCTCTTACCAATCAGATCCAGGATTTACCAGATTTGTTCATTTGACACTCCAGCTTCTGTTTATAAAGGGATTATATTCCCAGACGCCTAAAAGATAAAGGATTGTCCACCAGGATAATCAACCCACGCTCCCAAGGGAAAAATCAGGGCCCACGACCACAGCTTGGAGATTAAAGCCTTAAAAAAATCCATGTCCAGCAAATCCTGGGTGGGCCCAGGCCAGCTGACGTCGTTGACAGTGGTGTCACACCCCCAAAGCACGGCACTCCACTTTGCAGCTGCTTGTAATCAACATTCCCTGAATTTCGGGATTAAATGGTGCCATTTTGGGGTTTTTGCAGGAATTATGGGCAGGCCTCCAGCCCGTGCCCATGGGGGAATTCTGTGGGTCCAAAAACAGCCACTGGAGGGAAAGGAGGAGAATTATTTCTGTCTGAGCTGTGTGAAATGGAAAATGGGGGTTTGGGAGGAGATCTGGGGGTGTTGGGGAAGGTGTGGTTGTGGTGAATTGGAGATGGAGCAGCTCTGCTGGGAGGAAAGGCTGAGGGAATTGGGAATGTTCACCTGGAGAAGGGAAGGATCCAGGGAGAGCTGGGAATGTTCACCTGGAGA